CAGGCAGGAGCCAATGAGTGCTTATGGATAAGATGGGTATTTCAACTGCTGGTTGTGTCTCAGAGACCTCCAGCCTGGATCTTGTCCTCAGGGTAGTGATCTCATGGCTGGGGCAGAACCAACCCTGAAACTGGGCCTTTCCTTGCTCTGCCCAACTCTGATTCTGTCTTTATGTCCTTTGGTTCTTGATCCAGTGAAGGTTCTGGAAACAGTTAAGGCATCTGTTGTCCTTCCAGCCATGCCATTCCCTTCCCACAGGGATAAGATGGAAGCGGTCACTTCTGCTTTGCCCACCACTGTGATTCCAGACAAGCATCGAGCAATTTGAGGGACCCATGAAGTGTGCCTGTGGCTGCTAAGGTGTGTTTCCTTCCTATACTCATGGCGATGAGGAGGAAGGTACCACTTTTCCTCTTCAGCTAAGCCACTGTTTTCAGTGTGATCCTTAACTTACAAGCAAAAACCAATCTTCTCTGTGTGTTAGAGACCTGTGTGTACAGAGGATGGGGCCACTGGTTCTGAGAGACACTTTGCAGTGCTTCTGGGTCCAGCTGCAAGGCCCCTCCCAGGCAGTATGGGGCCTTTCTCAGTCTGTTGGTTGGCTGGTATACAACAACTCTACCATGAGAGTGGACATGGGGCTGGTGACAATGTGGCCATGGCTCACTTCTCTGAGAGGTCCTGCAGATGTCTTCTGCACCTCTGTCAGCAAGTGTGTGCTCTGAGAAGCTACCAGTGGTCCCTCAGAGGCTCCATGGACTCCATTAGGATAACTGTGGCTGGTTATTGAATTCTTGTTCTCAGCTTCCTGCTTATCTATCTCAAATTCTTTTAAATGGTATTTTGTTGAATTTGATCTTAGCTTTGCTGTGTCTCCTCTTGAGAGGAAAATCTATGTTGTCACCTCTCTTTATCTACTGACATGACTTTAAAAAGAGTCGCTGTATGGATTGGCCATGACGGTAATTACCGACAGTGAAAGGTAGACAGTTGATGAGAAAGGAATCAAATTGTCACTCAGAGTTATTTTTGGTTTCTTGTTCTGATCTGTGTCTGAGCATATGGGCTAGTAGCTGAAATAATTTAGCAGTGACAGAATGTATTTCAGCAGGGCAGACTTAAAAACAGCCTATTTTATTTTTTCTTCCACAGTAATATTTTTATACCTCTGTTAAAAAATACGTTAGCCACTTAAATTATGTGAAGGCAGCCTTGGCCATTTAATAGCATACGTGGCATTTAGTCTTCATTTTTCACCTGGTTTATGTGTTGAAGCGTGTTTTTGTGTGGCGTTTCATAGGTCAGACATGTTAGTACAGGTGGTGATTTTTTTACTTTGGATTCAGTGAGGGCTCAGTGCGAGAAAAACTGGCCTCTGTGACTCAGCCCTTGGCTTGCATGCATGAGTAGCTTTCCAGTATAGCAGCATCCTGCTTGCCTTAGGGTGGTCTGGACAAATCTCCACTACCATAGAGTTTTAGGAATAGGTAAATGTAGTGGCTTTAGGTAATCATGTACCAGTTCTCTGAAGACCCTCTTCTCAAAGACAGAGTTGAGTTCCTCTTTTCCACAGGACACTCGCTGTACCATTTCATGAGATGAGATGGCAGGAGGGACAGATCCTTGGTGTCTCTTTGCTTTTGGTGTGCCTCCCTGTCCTCTGGGGAGCCAGCCACTGTGCTGGGACACACTGAACAGTCCTGTGGAGAAGGGTATCAAGGCCTCTGGCAGTAATCATGCTCACTTTTTGTTTATTCTTATTTCATAACAGAGACAATTGTAGTTGGAATTGTAACAAAGGAAGTTGTTTTAATTATGACTTCGATAAACTACTCTTTCGGAAGACAGTGCCATTAAAATATCATTGGTAGTTTATGTATTTGGAGATGGAGCATATGGCACCTGGGCCATCTAATCCTGATGGTGAGAAGAGTTGCAAGTCCAGGGCCTTGTGCAGGGCCTTAATTCTGGCTTAGACTGTGTCTTTTATGCACCATGTAAGAACAAGGCGGACAGGACCACATACAGATATCTGATAACCATAACTACAAGGATGGTAAGTTAATTAGTGGGAGGAGGGAAGCTCAAGCTCTCATTGTCTGGGAGAGAATCCCTAGTTCAGGCCACTGGTTCTCTCTGGGGTGGCACGTGGATGTGTCCGGCACTCTGGCTCACGTGGTAAAGGCACACAGCCAGCAGCCTCCTCTGCATGATGTTTCTTGATTTGGCTAAGAGCAAATCCCAGACCTCTGGCAGAATCTTCCCAACAGAGCTCAGCTTTCTGTGAGAACTCCTGGCTCTCTCTTTTGTACATGTTTCTGATGCGTCTTGTCTCCCTGTGGTAAGTCATTCTGCACATGCTTTGAAAGCCAGGACCCTGGACTTGTGTCCTGAGAACCAGAGCAGGCTCACCGGATTTCAGGCTTTGAATTCATTGCAGCTTCTGATCCAATGTAAACTACACAGACCTTTTCTAATCTCAGCCAGTTCACACTCTTCACTGCAAAGGGGACCTATCTGTCAGTGTGTCATTTCCCTCCTAAAGGGAGAAAGCATTCAGCTGTTGGTGGCCAGCCTGGATGCCAATGGATCCTAGGTGTGCGAGCCTTCTCTGTACTTGTGCATCTGGTACCTTGCTGTTTTTAGGCAGAGCTGATGTGTGTGACTGTGGGAGGCTGTGGAAACACCTTCCTCTGGGAAGTGGCAGAGCCAGTGAAAGCAGAGTAAGCAGGACAAGGACTCTTTTCAGATGCACTTGTTTTTGAGCAACTATACTTTGTGCTCTGGGCAAGCAGGAGAAATAGGGGACAACTCTGGTGCCTGGCGGGGTCCTGGGGTCCTCTTGAATACCACATGCTTGTGCACAGGCAATGATTTTGAAAAATCTAGGTTTCTGTAAACTGATCTGCTTCCACTGGGCCAAGGCAGTTTCAAAGAAGCTAGTAACTTAAAGATGCCCACAGCATTGGCCTAGCTGCTCCTCTTTCATCCCCAGTCCTTCCAGTGTGGGCTCTTCCTGGCTGGCTGTGCTCGGTCTACTCGCCTATCCTTCTGGTCTTTGCTTATCAACATGAATGATGTGTGCATCCAGAGCCCCAGTGGCATCTCCTGACCTTCAGATTCCTGGTGGTCTAGACTATAGCCAGCCTTGTCAGGCTGTGCCTTACAGCCAGCCACTCATGTTACTTTTCAGAGACAACTTCAGCCTCTTAGCAATGGTGTGACCTAGACAAGTTGTTTAGCTTCTCTGATCTGGAGTCCTCCTTGTAAGACAGGAGTTTTGAATGCTAGAGTTGTTGCTGCCTGAGCAGTGCCCATAGAGAGCTCTAGTCCTCCTGCCTGGTCTTATCCCAGCATGAGTTTGTAGTTGGTGTGCCTCTTGGAGAGAGTGGGGAAAGGGAAGGCCCCCTTACGTGAAGAAAAAAAAATGTTGACTTTTTCAGAAAGCTGATAGTTGACCTGAAAAGATTGATTTGGTAAATGCCAGAGATAATGACTTGATTATAGAGGCACAGCCCCAGGAGCAAGATTGGCTTTTGGTTTTTCTCAACTATAAGGTTAAATAGTTTGATTCAGTAGACAGTGTATGTTGGAAGCCAGATGCCTATGGGGGGAAATTATCAGCCACAAAATGCTACAAGCTAGTGACAAAATAGAAATCAGTGCTTAATTAAAAGTTCACCAGCATGACTTGGCAGCTTCATTAAACCTGCTGATTTAGTCTTCACACAGAGTCCTTCTGCTGTGAAGCTGGTTGGTCAGTTAGATTCCCTTACTGCTGCAATTCATGAGGGTTGCTGTGAAATCATTGCCAGTAGTAAATTGGAAGTTTATTTATAACCAAACGATCTCAAAGCTAGTTATACATATCTTTTCAGAATCTTTTTAGAGTGAGAAAGTTTTAAAATTGGGATATAAATGTAATCCAGGACATTTGTTACTGTGTGGGTTTGGGCTTTGCAAAGTACAATGTGGCTGAGGGCCTGATAAGAGACCTCAAGGCCAGTAGCAGAGCCAGGAGCCTTGGGATTCTGGTTCTCTCTTGTGTGCCCTTCTGCCAAACTCAGTCAGCACACTAGAGTGGGCCATGGAGGAAAAGCTATTGGAGAAATGGGAGGAGACTGGAGGCCGGCTGGTTTCCCTCTATTTACTATGCCTTTCAAGCAGAAAGGCAAATTATCAGCAGAGCAACCTGTGGCCTGGACCCCATAGCACAAATGCTTGAGGACCACTCCTTGCAGATACCACTTATGTGTCAGAGAGCTAGTATCACATAAGGCATGCAGCCCACCCTGGTCTCTTGGGTGCCAGAACCCCTGGCCAGCTGGTAGAGCCCTCAGGGAGGACAGCATCCAGGGGCATCTGTTCAGGAAATGACCAGATCACAACGCTGCACCCATGGGATGTTTCTGGTTTGTATTATGTATAGATCTTTCTTATTTTACTCACAGAAATCAAATCCAAGTGAGTAGAAGATACATTTAGTTCTGTGGTTATGGAACTGTTATTTCATGTATTAGAGTAAATTGTTCCCCCAGACGAATGAGATGAATTCCATAAAACTCAGGTCTTGGGTTTTGCATGGGGGTCCTATCTGCAGGTGTGTCCATGGCAGTGCCACTGTGACTCATGGGACCTCCCCCTGGTGTCTAGTCAGTAGGGTCTGGTTACACTTTTGGTGGAGTTCAGAGGAACCCTGGGGAGGTGCCATAAACTATCTGAGGGTCAGAGAACCACTTCAGGTCAGAGCCTTTGACCTCTTGTATCCCTGTCTTCCTTACCCTCAGAGCATTGGGGGTTCCACTGAAATCCTTCCATGGTAGAAAGGCCACCCCCATGCATTCTGATCACCTAATGACTCTGCAGAAGGGCCATTAGGATGGGCTTTTCCTGCTTGCCATATGTCCCCAGAGCTGGCATAGAAACACAGAATGTATGGAACTGATGATTGATATTGTGCTCGGAACCAACAGGCTCACTTGGTGTATTTGTTTCCCCAGGAGGACTGGAATGAAATTGACCCTATTAAAAAGAAAGACCTTCATCACAGCAATGGAGATGAAAAAGCACAGAGCATGGAGACTCTGCCTCCAGGTACTATACCAGGGCCCTGTGTCCCAATCACTGCAAATGGCCTGACTTTAAAGCATGGAGCTTGGGTTCCAAGGACCAGCTGGACACGACCTAGAGCACTGCTTCACTTTTTTTTTATCACCTCCATTTGCGGGTGGTAAAATAAAAAGTCTGTGGGAGGTGACCCGGATTTGTTGAAACCAAAAATAGAATAAAACAAAACATACAATGTATGTATTAGTGCATGAAATTTTAAAGATAGACTATGTTTTAGGTTCACAGCAAAATAGGGGAAGGCATGGAGAGTTCCCATGTGCCCCCAGTCCCTCCATAGGTACAGCCTCCCTCACTTTGACATCCTGCGCAGAGAGGGTTATTTGTGATTGTCTGAGGATCCACTGGCCTCCAGGCTGTGACCTGGAGTTCACACTGGGGCTGGCTGTTAATGGTATACATTCTTTGAATTGTTATTTTGATTAGTGTTTTGTCATTGTTGAAACAAAATACTTGATGCCCAAAATTAAAGCAGTGAAGGTTTGCTTGGCTTACAATTTTTTGCAAGTTTTAGCCATACTCAGCTGGCTCCAAGGCAGGGTCACATGGCTAAGGGGCAACCATTCATGTGGCCACAAACAGCAAAAGCAACAAGGGCAGAAGAGGGAAAGACATACTTCCTGCCGCTGCACAGGTACAGCTCCAAGCCCCACCACCAATCCCAGCACTAGACAGTAAGCCAATTACAAATATTAGACTCAGTTGCTTTCATGTCTACATGAGACTTTGTGGGGACACTTAACCTATAACAATTATGTTATGGTTTGTAGCTAGATGACCCCCAGAGCTTCATGCATTGATGGGTGGGGCTTTTGAGAGTGACTGGATCATGGGTGTGTGATACTAGATAAGTCCACTGGTTGGCTTATCATAGCTCTCATGTGGGTGATGGACTTAACAGAGGGAAGGACCCATCTTGGCTGTGGGTGGCACCAACAATAGGTCTGAATAAAAGAGCAAGAAGGAGGAAGACTTGCTGCTTCCTGCCTGCCTTGTCTTGAGCTCTTTCTCCTCTGTCATGCCCCTTTTCCATGCCATCCTGTTTTGGAGCCAACCGACTCCAGAACCTCTGCACACTATGAGCTGAAGTACGCCTTTCCTCCTTTAACTTGTAGGTGTCAGGTATTTCGTTCCAACAATGAGAAAGAAACTATGACAAGTTATAACAAATGAACCCATCATTGTAGTATCACAGAAGATTTTGAGTGCTCTGTTTATCCCTCTCTCTGCAGGATATTATACAGTTGAAATCATATACTATTTTTACTGTACCTAAGATTTCTTTGTATCTTTCATGGCTGGATGTCACATTTTGTTTTAGCACTGAATAATATTCCATTGTCTAGATGTACCACAGTTTATTTTTCCATCCACCTTGTGAAGGACATCTTGGTTGCTTCCAAGTTTAGGCAATTATGAATAAAGCTACTATAAATACCCATGTGCAGGTTTTTGTGTAGGCATAAGTTTTCAAATCATTTCAGTAAATATCAAGGAGCACAACATATGGTAGGAATATGTTTGGTTTTATAAGAAATTACCAGACTATCCTCCAAAGTGGCTGCTCCATTTTTCACTCTCAGCAACATTTGATGTTGTCACTGTTCTAGAATTTCTTATATGTAAGTGTGTAGTAATATTTCACTGTAGTTTTAAATTGCAATTCCCTGATAACATATGTATGGAGCACCTTTTCAAATGGCCTCTGTCATATGTGTACCTTTGATGAGGTATTTCAGTCATTTGCCCATGTCTTGAGTTGTTATTTTTTAGTTTGTTGAGTTTTAAGAGTTTTGCATATAAATGTACTGGTGTGTCTTAGTTACTTTGCTCATTGCTTAGACCCAATGTTAAGGGGGAAAAGGGTTATTTAGTTTACAGTTTGTAGAGGTTTCAGTCCATGATTAGCTGGCTCTAAGGCAGGGCGGCTTCATAGAGGAAAACAATTCATAGCAGGCAGAAGACAGCAAAAGCAACAAGAGAGAGAGACAGACAGAGAGAAGAGAGAAAGGGAGAGGGGGAGGGGGAGGAAGAGAGAGGGAGAGAGGGAGAGAGAGAGAGAGAGAGAGAGAGAGAGAGAGAGAGAGAGAGAGAGAGAGATTTCTTTTTGTCCTTTGAATGCAGGCTACCCAGGTGTAGGACTTAATCCCAGCACCCTTAATCCCATCATTGCACCATCACTATAGGTTTATCTACCTCCAAAAAACCCTATGACCACATGAGGCAATTAGGGGGACATCTAGACACAGACCATAACATGGGGTAAAAATCATTTATCATATGCTTTTTACAAATATTTTTTTAGTCTGTGGCATATATTCTCATTCTCTTGGCATAGTGTCTTTCCCAGAGCAGAGACATTTTAGATTTAATTGAAGTGTAGCATATCTATTGTTTCTTTAATGGGCCATGCTTTTGGTGTTGTCTTGAAAAAGTTACAAGCACAAGGTCACCTGAATTTTCTCCTTGTGACTGTCTAGTAGTTTTATGGTTTTGATTTTTGTGAAAGTTGTAAGGTCTGTGTTTAGATCCATATGTTTGCCTGTGTTTTGTGTGTTCCAGAACCGTTCCTTGGAAGAATCATATTCCATTGTATTTCTTTTGATACTTTGTCAAAGATCAGCTGACTATATTTACATGTATCTTTCTCTGGGCTTTCTGTTAAGTTTCTTTTTTGTTTTGGTTTGGGGTTTTTTTAGCCAGTCCTGGGCTGTGTGATTATTGTAACATTATAATGTTTTGAATTAGGCTGGGGACAATCCTCTGATTTTTTTCTTCTCTAAGACAGCATTGGTATTTCTAAATTTTTTTTGTTATTGGTGTTGTGCATGTGAATGTTGGATTAGTTTATTGATAGTTACAAAGCAACTTGCTGGAATTTTGGTTGTAATGACATTCAACCTTAGATCAAGTTGGGGAAACTAGTATTTGACAGCATTGCAGCTTCTTATCTGTAACATGGAATATTTCTTTTTGAGTTCTTTGATATCTTTCATCAGTTTTGTTGTTTTCTTCATACAGATCTTAGATATATTTTATTAGATTTTTAACTTAAGTACTTCACTTTTGGGTGATACTAAATTATTTTATGTTTCAAATTTCAAATCGAACTTGTCTCTTGCTAAGTATAGAGAACAGACTATTTTGTATATTAACTTTGTATCTTGTAGTCTAGCTATAATTGCTTCTACATGTTTTGTTGATTTGTTCAGATTTTTGTACCCAATTTTATCTTTTCCTTTGCAATCCCTGTGCTTTTTATTTCTTTTTCTTGTCTTCTTGCAATAACTAGGATTTTCAGTGGAGTATTGAAAAGGAGTTGTCAGAAAACATCCTTACCTTGTTCCTGATCCTACTGGGACAGTTCAGAGAGTGTCACCATTACTATGGTTTGTGAATTTGTTGCAGATGTTCTTTATCAAGTTAAGGAAGTTCTCCTTTTCTTAATTTGCTGATAGTCTCTCTCATGGAAAGTTGCTGGGTTTTGTGGAATGCTTTTACTACACCTGTTGATAGTATCATATGACTTTATTCTTTAGCCTGTTGATGTTATTGATTACATTAATTGATTTACATTTGTCTAGCCAGCCCCACATAATTAGGAAAAAAATCACACTTGATTGTGGTCTACAACCCTTGTTATACATTGCTGGGTTCTGAAGAGTTTGCATATGTTCACAAGAGATGTCATTTTCTAGTTTTTATTTGTTTTTTTTTTTTTATCCTTTGGCTTTTTTTTTTTTTTTTTTTTAATTTTAAAGACTTGGCCTGGCTAGGGATTGAGTTTCTGATCCTCTTAGTCTCTCCAGGTGCTAGAATTGCAGGCATACATCACTATTCACCTGGCTGTAGTTTTGTTCTCTGATGTTGTCTTTGTGTAGTTTTGGTGTTAGGGGGTAATGCTGACCTCATAGAATGAGTTAGGAAATATTTGCTCTCCCATCTTCTGGAAAAGATAGAGAGAATTGGTATAATTTCTTCCATAAGGGTTTGGTGGAATATACCTGTCTTAGTTACTTTTTACTCCTCACTGAAACAAAATACCTGATGACCAAAGTTGGGAAAGGAAAGGTTTATTTTTTACAGTTTTTGGAGGTTTCAGTCCATACTCAGTTGGCTCCAAGGCAGGATGGCATGGTGGGGCTGCAGTTCATGGTGGCTGCAAACAGCAAGGCAGAAACCCAGAAACCAGCAAAAGAGCAAGACACACCTTCTTCCTGCCACTACATTGTATGCTGGCTCCACCCCTAGGCCAGTGTAGCACTCACACCCCCAGTCCAAGCCATAGATAGTGAACCAATCACAAATGCATAATGCAAAAGTATGAGGCCTGGGGGAGACAGACATAAACCATGACAATACCTGCAAATACTTCTAATATTTTCTATTTGGGAAAGTTTTTAATTCCCGATTCAATTTCTCTAATACAGGTGGACTTGCTCAGATTGTCTATATCTGATTATCAGAGTTTTGGTAGACTGTAAAATAGTCGGTTCATTTCATCTAGGCACAGAGTTATACTATTGTTTTTAATGTCCATGGGGTCTGTAGTAATGTCTCTCCATTTCTGACAATAATTTGTGTCTTCTCTCTTTTTCACTCAGAAGAGCCTCACTGACAAAAGGCCAATCATTTTTATCTTTCTAAAGATCCAGCTTTTGGTTTTATTGATTTTTTTTCTTTTCACTCATATTGATTTTTGCATTATTATTTTTGCTGCCTACTTTTAAATTCAATTTCTATTTTTCTTATTTTTTAGAGTAAGAGTTTAGATTCCCAGCTGAAGTTGATGTAATTTTTTACAAACACTGCTTTCATTGCATCCCACAAATTAATATTTGTGTATAAGTAGAATATTTGTTAATTTTTAAAAACTTTTAACTTTTTCTTGAAATTTCTTCTTTGATCTATATTATCTGGAAATGAGTTATTTAATCTCAAGTATTTTTGGACATTTCCAGTTATAT